ACAAGAATCATAAGAAAGAGAAACAGCCTCATTGCTGATATGGAGAAAGTTCGAGTGGTCTCAATAGAAGATCAAAGCAACCACAGCATTCCCTTAAGCCAAAATCTAAACAAGAACAAGACCTTAACTCTCTTCAAGTCTATGAACGCTGAGAGGTGAGGAAACTCAGAAGAAGAGTTTGAAGCCAGCGGAGATTGGTTCATGAGGTTTAAGGAAAGAAGCCTTCTCCATAACAGAAGGCGGCAAGGTGAAGAAGCATGTGCTGATGGAGAAGCTGCAGCAAGTGACCCAGAAGATGAAGGTGGCTCCACTAAATGACACATGTTCAATGTAGGTGACACAGCCTTCCATTGGAAAAAGGTGCCATCTAGGATTTTCATAGCTGGTGAGGAAAGGTCAATGGCTGGTTTCAGAGCTTCAAAAGATAGACTGACTCTCTTGTTAGGGGTTAATGTAGCAGGTGACTTTTAGTTGAAACCAGTGCTCATCGACCATTTCAAAAATCCTAGGGCTCTTGAGAATTATGCTAGGTCTACTCTGCCTGTGCTCTGTACATGGAACCACAAAGCCTGGATGATAGCACATCTGTTTACAACCGATGTTTATAACCTGTTTTAATTTTAAACCCACGGTTGGTACTTCTAGAAAAAGGATTCCTTTCTTTTTTTTTTTTTCCAACGTTTATTTATTTTTTTTGGGACAGAGAGAGACAGAGCATGAACGGGGGAGGGGCAGAGAGAGAGGGAGACACAGAATCGGAAACAGGCTCCAGGCTCCAAGCCATCAGCCCAGAGCCTGACGCGGGGCTCGAACTCACGGACCGCGAGATTGTGACCTGGCTGAAGTCGGACGCTTAACCGACTGTGCCACCCAGGTGCCCCGAAAAAGGATTCCTTTCAAAATATTACTGGTCATTAGTGATGCAGCTGTTCATCTAAGAACTCTGATGGAAATGTACAGTGAGATTAATGTAGTTTTCATGCCTGCTAACACAATGTCCATTCTGCAGCCCATGTATCAAGGAGCAATTTTGACTTAAGTCTTACTATTTAAGAAACCCATTTTATAAAACTATAGCTGCCATAGATAGTGATTCTTCTGATGTACCTGGAAAGAGTAAATTGAAAACCTCCTGGAAAGAATTCACCATTTTAGATGCCTTTAAGAACATTTGTGTTTCATGGAAGAGGTCAAAACATCACTATTTTAATACGTGTTTTTAATGTTTATTTATCTTTGAGAGAGAAAGAGAGTGCAAGTGGGGAAGGGGTAGACAGAGAGGGAGACACAGAGTTCGAAGCAGGCTCCAGGCTCCGAGCTGTCAGCACAGAGCCCGACGTGGGGCTTGAACTCACGAGCTGTGGGATCATGACCTGAGCTGAAGTCGGATGCCTGACTGAGCCACTCAGGCACCCCCAAAATATCGCTATTAACAGGAGTTTGGAAGAAGTTGATTCCAATTTTCATGGATGCCTTTGATAGGTTCCAGACTTCAGTGGGGAAGTCACTGCAGATATGGTGGAAATAGCAAGAGAATTAGAATTACAAGTGGAGCCTGAAGCTGTGACTGAATGGCTGCAATCTCATGATAAAACTTGAACAGATGAGGACTTGCTTCTTAGGATGAGCAAAGAAAGTGTTTCTTGAGATGAATCTACTCCTGGTGCAGATGCTGGGAATATTGCTGAAATAACGACAAAAGATTTAGAGTATCACATAAACTTAGTTGATAGAGCTGTAGTAGGGCTTGAGGGGATTGACTCCAATTTTGAAAGAAGTTCTGCGGGTAAAGTGCTATCAAATAGCATCACGTGCTACAGAGAAATCGTTCATGAAAGGAAGACTCAATTGATATGGCAAACTCATTGTTTTCTTTTTTTAAGAAATTGCCACAGCCACTCCAACTTGCAGCAACCACCCTCCCTTGAGCAGTCAGCAGCCATCAACATCAAGGCAAATACCCTCCAGCAAAAGGATTACAACTCATTGAGCCTTCAGATGATGGTTAGCGTATTTGAAAGAAATTAAGTATTTTTAATTAAAGCGTGTACTTTGCATTTTTAAACACCGTGCTATTGCACACTTAATAGACTACTGTATAGCGTGAGCATAACTTGTATATGCCCTGGGAATCAAAAACAATTCATTTAACCCACTTTATTGTGATATTTACTTTTTTGGGGTGGTCTGGAACCAAACCTGCAGTATCTCTGAGATACACGCCTCTACACATTTTTTTGTCATATATGCAATGGGAAGGCAGACGTCAGCCTAGTCCGTGCCAAATTATTACAAAAATCTGAATTTAAAAGGACCCGTGTTAATGGACTTTTACTGAATTTATAAAATGTCAAAGATTACATCTCACTTAAAAGATAGATCTCAAAGTGCTCTTTCAACACTCTCAGAACACCATGTAAAATGACTGCTGTGCTGATTCGAGAATATTGACATTTGGCAGCTCTTTGCTTGGCTCTCACCTGATAATGCTTTCGCCTCTCTCTAAAATACTTTGGTGCACCTGTGCAAAGGCTCTGTGGAGACAATAATGAGGCTTGTCTGAGTGCATAGATAAAATGTATTTTCGGGAAAAATAATAGCCTCTGTTCTGATTTGGGTGATGTTTTTTGCAAGACAAGTGACAGAGATGCTTTAAAAATGTGATCCGACTATCAGATTCATATTCTTTCCCAGGTCCCTGCTATTAATATGTCCGAGGTCTGGTTGACAGCTTGCCCTGATGATTCTTTTCGTTCCTACCATAGCTACAGCATTAGCACAAACCGCTCCCAACTGGAAATGGTGGCTATAGAAAAAAATTGAATTAAGAGCCATCCTGGGATAATGGGGATAGTAGTGTTTGGCCAGGAGTACGGCTCATTGATGAGGTTTCCCCATTAGTTGTAGACAATAGAGTTGATGTATTGTCTCATGGTGTTTGGGTTACTCTACGCATCACTGGAGTGAAGGATATGAGGATATTACAATTGAGGGAACCAAGTTAATTGGAGAAGAGAAGTTAATTGACTCCCCCATGGTCCGGAGCTAGTTAATGTTGGAGGTATGGTTAGATCCCGCTCCCGCCTGGTGATGTGGTGTTGAAATAGAATTGCTGTGGCATAGATATTTGGGAAGACGAATGAAAGGAAACTATAGATCTGAGTCCGAAGGACAGGGAGGAACTTCCGACTTATGATGCTGAAGCTATTTAGGAGGATCCATTGGGACAGGTACATATTCCATGCATCCTTTATACAGTGGAAGCACATCGTACTCGTGTTTATTGCATGTGCATTCAACCACACTTTTCAAAAAGTACAGTAGCAGCTAAAACAAAATGTGATCTTTTTGTCAGATGGCCTCTGTATCAGCTCCTTTATCTGTGACAGATTCCGAGGCTGGATGGATACATCAGCTGTGTTGGAAACTGTGAGATCTAATACAGTATATACAAAACAACTTAAAATATCGAGGGTATTTCTGACTGTTATTTTTGTCTTATACCCAACTGTGAAATCAACTCCCATATAAGATGGAAATTCACAGTATTGAGGGATTTTTTTTGCTCATCAAAAGAAAAATGATGGAAAAAATATGTGTGAATAGATTAATAGTTTTGTGTTTAAGCACATAATAACTTTTTTGCCACTTTCAATTTTTTTTTGCCCGGAAATGTTTTTTAGGAGGAAATCTAGTATGAGAACTTTAATATAGTCTTAAAATGTATATTTTAATATATATAAAAACATTTCAAAATATGAGCCTTAGGTTTGAACTTGAAGCTGCTAATATTATTTCTCAGGGTTCTTTTGCTGGAAAAATAGAATTGAACTTATCGCTTTTTAAAATACGCTTTTGAAGTAATATACACCTACTGAAAAATACACATGCATACATGGAGTTTGATGGGTTTGCAAAAACTAAACACTCCGATGGAAGCAACAGAAAGATCATAAAGCAGAACATGACCAGCATACCAGATCTCTAGGACCTGTGTCCCCTTCTTTTTTTTTTTTTTTTTTAGTTTTTCTATTTCAATGTTTACTTATTTTTGAAGGGGGGAGGGGGAGAGAGAGAGCGAGATACAGAAGCAGGTTCCAGGCTCTGAGCTGTCAGCACCGCTCGCGCGCCTCGAACTCACGAACTATGAGATCATGACCTGAGCCGAAGTCGGACTCCTAAATTACTGAGCCACCCAGGTGCCCCACCTGTGTCCCCTTCTTTCTAGTCACCATCTCCCAGACCACCATCCTGACTGTAGATGAGTTTAACACTGTAGATGAGTTTTGCCTGTTTTTGTACTTAATATATATGCATTCTGCTCATTATGATGTTAGGGATATCCATCCATCTGATTGTCAGTTATTGTATAACTCTTATTCACATTGCTGCGTAATTTTGTATTGTGGGAATATATCTTAATGCTGTTGTACAATTTTTACAGTATAGATACTAATTTGCAACCAGCCAACAATGTAGGAGAGTTTAAGTGACTATGCATTTCCCCCCAAACTTGGTATTTTTCATCTTTTTTTTTTTTTTAACAGCTTTAGCCGTTCTGGTGGACAATCGTTGATTTTTAAATTGACTAAATAAACCTCTAGCAATCTCATACCAAACAAAGGTCTTTATTTTAGCAACCCGTGTGTGTTGGGGGTGGGAAGGGGCAATGTTTCATAGAGCGGACTGTTTCAACATCAACAAGTTCAAAAAAGAAATACATTTTGAATTACATAAGCAGAAATATCTCAGCACAGACAAGTGGTTTTGTTTAAAATACAGCCTTATTTTCAAAGAAAGCATTTCATTTGGGAATGAAGAGATATGCATATGGGCTAGACATTTATGGAATCTGACAACTGACATTTTTAAGATTTTGGAGGGGAGGTGTGGGATAGAAGAAAACAGTAAGGACTTTATTAACTGCACCACTAGTGATTGAGATTTTCATAGAAAAAACACGAGGCAGTGGTTGATTTGTATTTTTATTACTGTTGCAGGGTCTCCATTTTGGTGCCTATTGGATATTGTTCCTATAAAGAATGAGAAAGGAGATGTGGTACTTTTTCTGGCCTCATTCAAAGACATAACAGATACAAAAGTGAAGATTACTCCAGAAGATAAAAAAGAAGGTTGGTACTGTTTTCAGAAAACATTGACAGATGGAGTAACATTTTGAAATTGTTTACTCAGAATCTCTAGGAGGAAAAAAAATTGTCTTTTTAATAACAGCAACCGATAAATATTCATAACTGTTAGCAGTTAGCGCTTGGTGCCTATTCCAAAATCACAGAGACTCACATGAATTTACATCCTTGTCTTTGTAATAAAGACTCATTTGACAGGAACCAGAAGTTCATATTCCTATGCAAATAAGATAAAGATGGAAAAACAGTTTAGAATATAAAGAGTCACACCACATTATTTTATTAGGGAAAAATATTAATCGATAGCAATGAGTGAAGTCAAAATGATGTGATTAAAAATCCCTCTCTCAGTTTCATCTAAAGTGCAGTGGCTCAAAATTTAGACGTGAAAATTTCACGTGCAAAATTAAGAATCCAGTGTTTAGCGGTTGCTAGAGTGGATTGCTGCAGACAAATGTGTTTCTGTATCTTATCGTACATAACACTATCATGATTTGTTTTAAGGCACAGACAAGCTTTTCAATGATCTTTAAAGGATTCTACGATTTTATCTTGCTTTCCTTTTACCTTCTGGTTTATACTTGTTAAGAAATTCCTTAAAATTTGTGCAAGCTGACAAAAACTGGCACTGAAAAAAATGTTGATATTATTTCATTTAAACAGGGGTAGGATTACATACTTTGGTGACCAGAGAATAAACGATTGTCATTGCAAGGGACCTCCTATGTGTGAAGTTCTTTATGAGAACCGACTATCTGACATCTCAAGAATTATGACTTGCTCAGAATGAACTCTTTTATTTCAACTCATTTAAAACACATATGTGAGTGTTTTAAACATATAAAAGTCTCTTTAAATGACAACCCAAATGGAGAACTATCGTGGTGTGGTGCCTCTTCCCCCACTTCCATCATCTGAAATGTTTGCAAATGCACAACTATTTTCCTATGTATTTGCATGACTGAACAGTGTGGCATATTTACATACACAAGGAAAGAGCAGTCTTACAATTAAAGTTACTCGGATATTACAGCAAATGTAATGCTTGTCCAGCGAGAGAAAAGAAAACGTGGGAGTCAGTATGCATAGATTTTGTTTTTAGGGTTTTTTTGTGTGTGTTGTAGGAATAGAGAAGGTGAGTATGAACTATATTTGCTCACAACACCGCGACACCAAATATGTGGGTTTTCTCCCCACCAAGAACCAGTTCTACAACTTTCTGGACACCAACTGGGTGTCCTATCATTTAATTCAGCTCTGCGATGACTACAGAGTTAGTGTCAGTCTACACACGCTTATGGGCTCATTCCCACGAGACTGTCCTCACTTCAGATACCAGTCACAAATATTGGGTGTCCAGGGGACCTGTACACGTCTGTCCAATTTGGCTATAAAGTTGGGGATTCCCCGACATTCCTCCTTTTCAAATTTAGTAATTTGTTAGAACAACTCACAGCACTCAGGGAAACACTTTATTTAATGGTTACAAAGGATACAATTCAGGAAGAACAAAATGGAAGAGATGCATGGGGCAGGGCATGGGGAGGAGGGAGGTGGAGCAGCCATGCTCTGTCTGGGTGTGCCACACTCCCAGAACCTCAGTGTGTTTACCAGCTCAGAAGCTTTCCACACCCCACTGTCCAGGAGTTTTTATGGAGGTTTCATTATGTAGACATGATTGATTACATCACTGGCCATTGGTGATTAACTCAGTCCCCAGCCCCTCTCCTCTTCCAGAAGGTTAGGGGTGGGGTGAAAGTTCCAACTCTCTGATTTTGGGTCTTTCACCATGGAAGCATGTAGGGACTCCCAGCCACGAATCAATCATTAGCATATAAAAGATACTCATCATCCCAGGGATTCCAAGGGTTATAGAGTTGTTTGCCAGTTGCAGGAGGTAAAAACCAAATATATATTTTCTATTATGCCGCAATAGGGATTATTTGAATAAAATTCTTATTCACATCTTAAATATATATGTGTGTATATCATATACCTTTATATATGTGTGTAGATAGAAGTGCTAAACTAAAAAGTAATATATGACTACTTTTTTTTTTTTTTTTTTGCCTTAAAGGGAGTAATTTAATCATCCTGACTTGTTTTGAGCAGGAGAATCATGTGTAATGGTTTTATAAAATTTAACTCATCACCTTTGTCTTAGGCCTGTCATGTCTGTAGATAAGGGAGAAATACCTATCTTGGAAGACTGAAATTGACCAAAGGAGCAAAATATAATTACTCACTTGGGATTTGAAAGAGCTCAATTAAAACACTCCTTTTTCCACCCAAGTACTGGGCCAACTCAGAAGGAACTAAGAATAAGGCAGATGGGAGATCAGCATATCACCTTGATTTCTGATAAAACTGATAACAGAGAATGTGGTGTATATCTACAGCAAGTGGGCTTCCTCTTGTGAGCTCCAGATTTAGGGAAAGTCACCCCTCGATCACAAACAGAGCTATAAAAAGGCAAAGGCAGAGCTCCCCAAGTTATAATTTCAAGCTTGGAGGACCAGAGCAGAACAGATGCTCCCCAAATACAGCTGCTTCTTAAAGAGGAAGGGGCCACCCTATGCATACCTATGTGTCCTTCCAAACTCAATCCGATTAAATTCCTCCTCTTCCTCTGGGAAGAAGTGAGTGAAGGAGCAGGAAAGGCCAAGTGTGTTACACTAACGGAAGTGCTTGCACATGAAAGACTGTACCTGACATCTGGGGGTGGAGGAGGGCATGAACTTGAATACTCTGGAACCAGTAACAATTTTACTAATTCAAACTCCCATCTTAAAAATGAGTTTTACATTTACATTTAAATAAATATGCACCTGTTGGAATGAGCACTGGGTGTTGTATGGAAACCAATTTGACAATAAATTTCATATAAAAAAATAAAAAATAAAAAAATAAAAAATGAATATGTTCATCTCTGTTCAGTAATAGACCAATTTTGTTCAGGGAACATATACAATCATTTTCTATCTCTTGCAAAGTGTAAAGCAAAAAATATCAACGAAACACATTTAATATTAATTAGATAATGCAAAATATGATTTATGAATTTTGAAGCATTTTGAGAGAGCGCCGAATCCTAACCACTAGACCACCAGGGAGCTTGAATTTTGAAGTATTTTGAAAAAAATCCCTAAATTTTTTGTAGCTTTATAACTTCTTCCTCAAGTGATTATTACTTCATAGGAAGTTATGTACTATTTCTAAAGAGGTACTGAAAACTTAACATTTTTTCCTGTTAATGCCTTAATATAAATGTCCCACAAAAGTATGTAGTATTTTTATAGATGCCAACTAACTATTGTTAGCCAGCATGGCTATAAAATGATCATAAAAAAATAGATATATATTTCTTTTTTTTTTTTTTTACCTGCACTTAATAGAGGAAAGTACATTAAATTCACCAGTTGATGGCATGTCTTGTAGGAAAAGCACATCTTAGCGTATGGTATTTTTAGAACTTTGAGATAAGTGTTTGAAAATCATTAAAATGTCACTGTGGAACTGGAGCAGTATTGTATCATAGCACGAGAAAACTGTAAGTGAGCATGTAGCCTGACTTGACCCAAGATTGCATCTCATACAAATGTATCACTGAAGTTCACTGGCTTATAGAAATAAGATTTGTGTTAATTTCCTACCCAGGCTCAGATGATGGACTTTATAAGAGGTATATGTGCACTTCTATTTTTAAAAACTACTTGAATCATTAATATCTATGTTGTTTGGGGGTTTATGTGAAATGAGGTAAAGCATATTTTATTGAAAAGGCTAGCAAGGTATGGGATACAATAAACAGCATTGATGGGAGATTAGCATAAAACGCAATGTTCTGTTTGTGCACTCTGTAGCTTTCAGCCAGTGATCTGGGTTGTGTGTCGGGGTGAGGGGGGCAGGGGGGAAGAGGCAGAAGAGAGGGCAGGAAAGGGAGGGAGGGAGGGTGTAAGGGACGTCAGCAGAAATCTGGTGTTTTTTACTACCCAATACCCTCCTTTTTTTTTTTTTTGACACATTTTACTTCCATTCTAAAAATAGTGTGTAAACCACTAACTCCTATCCATGTCTAATATTACTGAGTGCATTACGGATCTTTCACTCTCAGTAATACTTTAATACAATTTAAAAGTGAATTAATAGTGGATTAAGTAGTTCAACAAATACTTAGTGAGTACCCACTCTGTCTTCAGATTTCAACTATTGTTTGGGGATGTCAAAATGGAGACCGGATGCTTTGGATCATCTATACTTTAGCTCAAATCCTGGTTCTACCACATGTTTGGTATAGACTAGGGGCTTATCCTGTCACAGACTGTACTCTCTTCTATAAAATGGGGTAATCATACATGTCTACATTTGATTCAGATTGTCCAATGACAAAAATTATTACAATTTAGTAATGAGTTTGATGCCCTTTATTCAAAGGGGAGCACTCCATGGATTGAGAGTATACAGTGCTTCGCAAGCAGTGGAGTGCTATTCCCGAGGGATTTTGAGCAAGTTTTATAGAGAGTTAGAAGAGGCAACATGGAAACAGGGCATGATGGCCTAGGAGGTAGGGGATTTCCTTATGAGGCTAGCAAGGTCCTACTTTTTAGTGTAAGGTTAGCTAGCTAAAGCTGATTTGGAGGATTGTGCATAGTGTTTGTTAGGGTTCCTTGACAGGTATTTCCCGTAAGTGCAGGCTGATGTAGGTTTACATGTCAGGCCACTGGGTCCCGTGTTGTGAGTCCCAATACACAAATCAATTTTATCAAGGTTTATAAGAAATAATACATACAAATCGCACAGGACAGAGCATCTGGAATGAACTCAACAAAAGATGTGGCCATTGCCACATTCTCTCTGTTTTATTTTAATAGCTAGCTGTTATTGAGTCTCTACATCATACTAACAGAAACTGCCTGTATTTCCTATAACCATATGAATTAGGTATTATTCTTATTCCCAGTTACCAGTGTATTTAAGTAACTTGA